GATCGTTAGAAGACTGAGAGGAATATATTATGGAGATAAATTGATATTCTGAAACAATGTGCGGAAATTACCTCCGTTCTCTAACAAATTTCTTTACAAAAATCGATTTATGCCCTTTTGGATGCAGCACGGTTGATGTGTTTAAACTTGCGACAGAGTAGGTTTTCCATCGGATAACGTGAGCACGTTTGAGCTGAAATGTTACAGAATCACTAGAATTCCATGGATAAGGGAGGAGAAAAGAACAATGATCTTCAAGGAGAAAAGAACATTGATATTCAACGGGCATTCTAGAAGGACTGAACAACGGAGAAAGTTGGTTTATAAACGTAACGAGGGATAAGGGATAGGGGTGGGGTGTTAGGCAGATCCAACAAGCATATCGTAAATGGCGACAAATGAAGGCTTTGCTAAAGTCGGATGTATTTGGACGAAAGGGGCACATATCGCAGGCCTGCTGTAATACTTAAAACGTCCTGCCAACCTCCCTGTTAAAGGTGAAAGTAGAAGGAAAATTATCCCACCGAATCCCGATTCATCTATATAAATATGGGTCTTGCATTATATTCCCTACGCGCCCCTGACTTAACAAGGGTCCCTTATTGTCTTTTTAGAATATAACCTAAAACCCTGAATTGTTATTATTATGATTTTGAGGAATATTTTCCCACCGCATTACACTATCACCCACAAAGCGTATGTGCAAAGTGTCACCTCAATAGCTTACCGGAAATAAGTTTTAAAATATAATCCTACGCAACAGGCGAAAAGAAACTTGATAAAAAGTTTATAATGAGCAGTACTGCAGTCTTCCGTTATGGTCGTGAAGATGTATCGATGGTAGCACTAGCACACAAATCCAGCCATCTTTTTCTGTTTTCTGCTTGCAGTACAAGTTTTTAGTAATTTAGTCACGTCCATTTCTTGATGGTGTCGTTCTAATTTCTTCTTTGCCGTCCTCTTCTTATTAAAAAAGGTAAGTAAAGGTCCCTTTTCTGCGCCTTTAGGCGTATCGGGCATGTAGGGCTAGACCTATATTTTATAGACCAATTGGCACAAGATGGGTGATGTGGTCAGCATCACACCGGCCGCCTCCACTTCCCGGGACTGCACCCAGGAGCCAATGTCGTTTTTTTTCCCAGCTCCGCCAGGAAGCGAACGTCCTAGTTTTTAGACAACACCCTTATGTTCCTTAAAAGATAATCATTGCGATCAGATTGTGTCGCATCACGTGCCTGAACTAGCTTGCGACGTTTCACCACTGACAGGAAAGGCTCCTTATGTTCTGTGAATTTGCCTATGTTCTCCCTCACATATTTGTTCTTATTTTTGTTGTTGTTGTTGTAAGTAGCTAGTTCGTAGAATTCGTCTCAAGAATGTATGTTCAAAAGCCTGAATAATCCTTTCCATTTCCGTAGTGAGAGTCCAGTTCTCACATCCGTATAAAAGGACCTATTAGCAAACATACTTACGTCCTTTTCAGGACGTAATTTTTTTCTTATTTGAAGCCCCACTCTGGCTTTTGCCAGGGGCCGCAATATAGGCAGGCCATCAATATGGCCAATTGTCTGAACGTGGTTTCTGGTACCTCTCCACGGTGATCCTCATCCGCATGGTGGCACTTTGTGTCACCGGGTGTTGATTGCTTGTGTGATGTCCTAGTGGGGTAGAAAGTCAGTCAGTCAGTCAGTGATTTGCATATGCTTTCACTAGAATATATGAGGAATCACCAATTCACAGTCAAACAGAATCACCTGCCTAATGACTACATATCTGCTGAGTGTTTAACTGATACCGATTTTTTTTTTAAACTGCAGTTAACAAACTTAACTTGTTATTTTTCGCTTTCCTTTATTAGAGATGCCTGTATATACAAGCTACTTATTGTTATTTATTGCTTGTTTTTGTTTTGTTTTTTGTTGTATTTTTCATTTCCCATTTGCACACGTGCATCTGAGTAATTTATTGTGTACATATTGCCATCGAGTTATAATTTTTGGCGCAGTTTTTAGTTTCGTGCTTAATTTTGTTTTTATAATTCCGTTTCTTGTTATTATTTTTATAGCTTCGCTGATATATAGTTTTAAATGCTATTTAGATACTGTTTTGTTAATTGCGCGTTAAGCTGTGAAAACATTTACTCGCGGCACAGAAATGTCATCTGAGACAAATGCTAAGAATATCATAGAAGAATATAAAAATAAACGAAGCAGTCCTCATAGAGACAGACATGTAAAATTTTGTTGAATGTTGAATTAACAGTCGACATCACAGCACTCGGGGCAACCCCATAAGTGCTCAGTCCCCATTTTCAGCAGCAAGTGAAGAGTTCGGGTTCCGACGGCACCAGTAACCGTCTGATTGTATATCTGTCTCACTCTTTTCCTAAGTGTTGAGCGTCAGCCAGATCTCCTGGTAACTCTTTGCAGCGCCATTCTCCTTAGACCGGTATGATCTATCTATGCCTTCGCACTGTTCACTTGCTCTAAAAGGGGTCTCATAGTAGTTAACTTGTCATACATCAATTCACCACCAAGTGGTGCAGAGCCAGTCAGTCTATAGAGACATAAGAAAGCCGTACAATGATTAGAACAGCTCAACCAAGACAGTCGTGGTTATTCTGGATATGTTTTGAGAAGAAATGGATTGACAACTTGTGACAACTGGCAATGTTGATGTCAAGAGAGCCAAAGTAATAGTAATGTAAAGAGAAAAATACCTGGGTGGCTTGGCCACATAGATGGTGCGAGATAAGAACATTGATCTGATCCATGATTCTGATGATCGTGTAATACATGACAGGGTAAACTAACCGAAACGACACATGATAATGATGGCAGTCATCGTTTGTTGGTTGTTCTGCTGATGAAAGTAAACGCCACAACGGCATCACTTTGATTATTATAAGTTATTTTGTAAAGCTAACCTACATTTTATGGCGGTTTTTGGGGTTGCATTTCCTATCTTTTCTCTTACCTATCTTTTGCAATCCTTTTTAAGATCCATTTAAACAAACATACGGTGGCACTTTGTGTCGACAATCGGCATTTTTTGACACATAGTATACTTGTGCGAAAGGCAATGAGAGTGCACACGCTCTGGCTGGCAGTATGAAAAATCAAGAATGGGCCAACTATAGACAGTAGAGACATCATCAATGCCATGAGAGAGAGAGAGAGAGAGAGAGAGAGAGAGAGAGAGAGAGAGAGAAAGAGAGAGAGAGAGAGAGAGAGTGAGAGCTGGGGGGAGACAGCGAGAGAGAGAGAGAGAGAGAGAGAGAGAGAGGGGGGGAGACAGAGAGAGAGAGAGAGAGAGAGAGGGGGGGGGCAGAGAGAGAGAGAGAGAGTGAGAGGTGGGGGGAGACAGAGAGAGAGACAGAGAGAGAGAGAGAGTGAGAGGTGGGGGGAGACAGAGAGAGAGAGAGAGAGAGAGAGGGGGGCAGAGAGAGAGACAGAGAGAGAGAGAGAGAGAGACAGAGAGAGAGAGAGAGAGAGAGAGAGAGTAAACATTGTGAGATTTTCAATGTCATGGAACAAGATTCTTCGCTAAACAGACCACGTATCCTGGATGTATCAGTTGGAATAACCAGACAAGAAAACCATATGAGAGCCACCCGCCATTACATCAGCCAGAACAGAATGAGAGTAGTTAGCCTAAAACACTTTTTGAGACATACACATTACTGAGACATGCTCGGGGGAGATCGGAGCACCTTTGGTAATGCCAGATCTGCAACGAAGACGATCTTTATGTTAAAAAAAAAAAAAAAACCAGTAAGATACCAGATTTTATCTTCAACACAAATAATTAACTAACAAAAACACTTGTAAATAAATTTTGCTTTGATCAAATCCACAAAGAGTTAACGAATCTGGAGTAAAACGTTAATTATTATTTTTTCCGTATCAGGGACTGAGGACAACAATACGAATGTGCAGTGTCACGTTTTGTCATCACAACAAAAACAGTCTGGCTAGTTTACCAGAAGCCTAACCTCACCCTTAGTCGCCTCTTACGACATGCCTGGTAAGATGCAGTGTCACTATCCTTTGATTCCCGTGAGGGCCCCGGTGACACACAATGAAGCTACCTCTATACTACTTCACCAGAAACACCAAGAACCGAAAGTTTAATTAATAAAAATACTTATACAATTTTTTTGTTTTAACCAAATCCACAAAGAGTTAACCAATCTGGAATTAAACGTTAATGATTTTTTTCCCCCCGTATCAGGGATTGAGGACAACGATATGAATTTTCACTGTCACGTTTTGCCAGCACAACAAAACACAGACTTGGCTGGTTTATTTTGACGATCATTTAATTGATGGCACACGCAATAGAGACGGGATTCATTGATGTCAGAACACTTTCTTATCGTCATTGTGTGTTTGTGCCAGGATTATGACAAACTTTGGAATGAATCATCGCACTGACATCGATGCATGCTGCTGCGATATTACAAAGGTTCCTGTTTTCAATATGTGAGATTAAAAAAGAAATTAAAGCAAGTCGGGTTCCTAGTCGAAACTGTGACTGTGAAAGTGTTATGGCTTCAGTTATTTGTGCGTCTTGAGCTAATATAATCCCCTATCTATCTTTGCATAGTATAATTATGTCCCATTTTCTAATTTCAACTCACGCTCTCTCTTTCGCCACCTTCTCCTCCCTTCCTCCACACACACACACACACACACACACACACAAACACTTGCACACACACACATACACACACACACACACACACCATATTGGGTAGCCCTAACACAACGGCAGCTTCAACATCAGTGGGGTCTTAACCCTGGACCTTCTACGTAGTAGACAGATGTGACAATCACTTAACTGTGGATGAATCTCCTCCAACTTTGTAGATATGTAAATCTGCTGTCTCCCTTTATATGTTGTATATATATATCTATATATTTTTTACTGTTTTTTTCAGCTCCAAAGAACTGATTAAACAAGCAATTCTAGACAACGACTTTATGAAAAATCTGGACATGGGACAGATCAGGGAGATAGTAGATTGCATGTATCCAGTTGAGAATCCAAAAGACTCAATCATTATTAAAGAGGGAGATGTGGGCTCTCTTGTCTACGTTATGGAAGGTAAGTGCAACTTTATTAAAAGACAAAATCCTGAATTTGACCTGGGAAATAGAAATGGAAAAAAAGAAAGATGTTCAACAAAATGCGAACATTGATGGTATCCAAAGAAGATAAACCAGTCCGAAACATAAAAATTATCGAAAGCCTATAGACGCAAACTCACTCTATGCTGGTTGACATGACTAAGAAAATCCGTCAGCCTTACCATCCTAGATCGTGTGAATAGTGAGTGGTTCAATCAGACAGTTTGTGGGAACAGCACCTTGTACTAGATTTATCCAGATTCAGTAGGCCAAGAAGATTTGGCCATTTCGCTAGAATGTAACATCAAATATCCTCACAGGCACTGCATCTCAGAAGATTAGCTACAAGAGGACGGCCAGAAAAAAATGGATCCACAACATTAAAGGCACTTTACGTCTTCACGACAGGACAAGGTCAATGCCAGCCAAGGTGCAAAGGATCGCACATTATTCCTTCCCGCGGCGCTGTATCTTATGTTTCCAGGCATGATTTTCTAGGACTAAAACAGCCGTGGTTTCCACTTACCTTCCGCCGGTTTGTATGTAAAAGTAAAAAAGTAAAGTTCTTTTTTCACGCCTTTCGGCGCATTGGGCATATGGGCAGAGCGTCCCATATTTTTACAGACCATCAGCACTCTGTGGGTAATGTAGTCAGCATTACGCCGGCTGTCTTTACTTTCCCAGGACAGCCCATCCTGGTACCCATTTTAGGCTGGGTCGACCTGCGACGTCCCATACCACGACAAAAATCCACGCAGCCTGCAGTGGGTTTCGATCGCGATATGCTAGCTTACGAGTCGGACTCGCAACGCCTTAGCCACGGACGCCGCTGGTTTGTATGTGGTTTGACTTAAATAATATTTGTTTATGGAGACTTACCCTGTAAGGCAGCGGGGTGGGGGGGGGGGGGGGGGGGGGGGGGGGGGTTGGGTGGGGGGGGGGGGAGAAGAAGGTTATGGCGCCTCTTACGGCCACTTATTCAATATTTCCACCATCCGCCACCTAGTGGACGCGCCTAGTAGTAGGACAGGCTCCTACCCCAGGGCAGAAGAATCGGTTATATTTTTCAGAAACAAAAATGGACACAATACTCACATAAAAAGGGATCTGTAGTGGAGTAGTCACTAGTCGCTTGCTTGCCAGTCCAAAGCTCTTGGGTTCTAATCCACACCAAGACGAAATTTTTCAACAAACTTCAGTCTAAGTTACATTCCATGTAGTTTCTTGAAAAGTAAAGGTAGACGGCGTGATGTTCATCGCGTCACACACGGAGTGTCGACTAGTATTTACATATATATATATATGGTAAATTTTACGCTGGCCTCCCCATTTACACACCGCTACACACTAGCTCGCTTCTCATTGGACGACCTACTGACCACCTCACCCCTGATAGGTCGGCCTCGAGCAATCCGACTTTCACACAAGGTCACGGGGATATTCCGCACCTGTGCTCATACCGCGTGTTGTTTATTTCACCATGCCAGACCTTTTAACACTTCTAAAACATTTAGATACTGGGTCTAACCAACAACCCCCCCCCCTTTCCTAGCCCCCCCCCCACCCTCCCCAGAGAGTGACAAAACATATGTCACAGACCTTTTCTTTCTCGGAAATAAAAACGAAAATGCCAGACAACAACAGACTGCGACATCCATAACCTCGACATGGGTAGAGTAGTCCAACCAACTTAACAATGGAGTTGCCCTACAACCGGTTGTGTGTAAATGGAGAGACTATCGTATAAATTACCATATATATATATATATATATAAAAATAACATCTCACCATTTGAGACGCCACTGACATTAAAAAGCCGTATTTTTTAATATCTTGCTCTTATTAAAAAAAAAAAAAAAAAAAAAAGGAACCGTCGTGGTGTAACGGATGGACGCTAGCCTGCGGATCCGAAGGTCTCGGGTTCAGTTCCCGATGGGTCGCTTTTGTTTCAAAAATAGCCTTGGCTCCCAGGTCGACTCATGCTTTAACGGATACTAGGTACAGTCCAGGGAAGAAAAAAAAAGGGCTGGCGGCGGAATGCTGACCACTGCGGCGATTGACGTTTAACCCCCGCCAGAACTGCACGACCAGAGATAAACACCCAGTGTCACAAAGCGCCACCATTTGGATGAGAATCGCCCGGGCGCAAGTCCCAGAAACCCAGTTGAACCAGTAGGTTATAAATGGGGCCCCCATTAACAGCCAGAGTGTGATTTTAAAATTTAAAAAAATAAATGCCGCGCATATTGGCCGGATACGAATGAAGGATGCACAAAAGAAACTTTCCACCCAGTGCCGACTGGTCTGTAAAGTATAGGTCTAGCCCTATATGCCCAATACGCCCCAAGGCGTGGGAAAAGGGTCATTTGCCTTATTTTATCATCATCATCATGTTCTCTGCCGACTGGCCTAGGCGTTACATGAATCTCCACAGATCTCGGTCCTTTTTCCTCTGGATCAGTTCCACCGATGAAATCCCTCCGCACTACTGTCGCAGTCCATCCGTCATTATCTCTCTCTCTCGGTCTGCTTCTCTCTCTTTTACCGTTGACCTTCCCAGTCGTCACAATTTTCTTTACTTACCACACTGGAGAGACAAGTTAATAGCAAGTAGGAGAAAGCATTACAGAAAGAATGCATACCACGACGAACAGAGTTGGTTGGAGGTCCATTGAAGCCAGCTTTCTTCTGCTATGCTTTCACCTGCTGTAAATCCAGCGGAAAGTTCTGGTGTTCGTCCAACTCTAAAATTGACTCTTGTTCTAGAACTTCAGCTTTGCGTACACATCCCATTTTACAGATCTGACTTATTTAGATGCAGACTGTTGGTTCCTTGCATCTCGGGCAGAATCACTCCGAATTCAAAGAAGACCCTTAATTAGTCGACTTTTTCGACATGCTAATTATGGAGGCAGTGAGGCCCCCCCCCACCACCCTCACAATAGGGCTCCAGCACCCACTCGGAGAGCATCTAGTCCTTATTGTGGGACATTAGATTGATTGACGACGAGCTAGTTAGTGCCTACAATGGTTGAACGTAAATGTTTTAAACATAGCAATCATTATCTTCTGAAACAAAAATACAAGAATTACAGACTGTTTTCCTAGGACTTAGTATAAGCCTGATTGATTGCTTGCCATATCCTTAAATTGGCTTCTGCCAAAATGCGGTTTGACATGGCGTTTCCCGTCGCTTATGCTGATTGATTGATTCGATCACTAGAGTCGACCCTTAGGTGATCTGTCTCACTCAGCAGATTTGAGAGTCAGTACAAATAAAGAGCTTGAGGAGATGCGTATAGGACATGTTGTACTAACACCAGTTATTCATAGATCAAATGGTACTATTTATGTATTCTTGCCAATATCACTTTTAGCTTTTCAACTTCCTGGTTTTTTTTTTCTGGTATATATTTTATACTGGGTCGATCTGTCAGCTCAGGCCAGTTTCAGAGATCCACTTGATAGTGATTTAGACCACATATCCACACATACACACACTTGCACACCCGCTGCATACAAAGACATCCACACCATACGTAACACTATCCACATACACACAAATAGTCCAACACGTATACACAAATATCACACAGTTAATGCCCTAACAACAATTAAATACACCCACAGCACACACACACACACACTCACTCACACACAAACACGCACATACACACAAATAGTCCAACACGTATACACAAATATCACACAATTCACGCCCTAACAACAATTAAATACACCCACAGTATATACACACACACACTCACACACACACACGCACATACACACAAATAGTCCAACACGTATACACAAATATCACACAATTCACGCCCTAACAACAATTAAATACACCCACAGCACACACACACACACACACACTCACACACACACGCACGCACATACACACAAATAGTCCAACACGTATACACAAATATCACACAATTCACGCCCTAACAACAATTAAATACACCCACAGCACACACACACACACACACGCACGCACGCGCACACGCACACACACACCACACACACCCACCCACCCAACCATCCATTCATCCGTAACAAATATGGATATATGCCTGTATATATGTGTGTGTGTGTGTGTGTATGTGTGTGAGACTGAAAAAAGATTTGACTATGCCGTTACGAAATGTAGACTTTGTCTTTCGACAGCTAGAGTGAAAACCAACTATAGATAAAAGATTAAATATTTACAGGTTAAACATCTGCTTGTTTGGCAACCTGGAGACAATTTAATTATATTTCAAATGTATATTATTACAAAAACTGGGCGTAGTCAAGGTGGGGTGGTTATGTGTTTTTAATCTGAGCATGACATTCATTTAACTGCTCAGAAAGTTGCATAATAACACTACTCTTCGTAGTATACTTTCATCTTGGCACCTTGCAGTGAACGATTAAAATGTGTCCAGCTCAAGAAACATTTTGAATGTTGAATGTTGACTAAGGAATCAACATCACAGCACTGGGCACACTCCCATGAGTGCCCAGTCCCCATCTTCAGCATCAAAGAAGAGTTCTGATTCCGATCATACCATTAACCGTCTGATTGTATATCCGTCTCATTGTTCCCTTAAGTGTTGAGCGTTGGCCAGATCCCCTGGTAACTCCTTGCAGCGCCATTCTCCCTAGACCGTGTCGTGAGGTGAGCAGCCACTCTACACAATGGACGAGTCGCGACTTTGATTTCCCTCGCGGACAGTCACATTTGAAACTTAAACCAGTCCGGAAGGGTATATAGTCCCTTATATTGATCTATACCTTTATCGGGTAGAATATTAATTTCCAGACCGTCTAGTTGCTTTGATAAATATTCATTTTCAAACTTGCAACTATAGATTGGCGAATTCAGGTATTTTATTTAGAAATTCCTGTAAACCGGTTCACTCCTTAGGCAGGAATACAAGGGAACTTCTTTTCTAGAGTCGCCAGTTTGATTTTGAAAAAAATCATTC